ACATCGTACGTCCAATCAAATTGCATGAAATTTATTTAGACAGTGAAATACGATTTTTATAAATCTCTATACACATATAATATATATATATATATATATATATATATATATATATATATATATATTATATATATATATATATATATATATATATATATATATATATATATATTAAAATATATATATATTAAAAGATATATTTAAGTTGTTTCCACCGAGGAATGCCGACGTCCGTGAGCATAAATTTTTGACACAAAACCTACTGCGATATAAAGCTAGTTTAAGCATACCTTCAATAGTTGATATTATGTTAAGGCCAACCTGCTACTATAACTATATAAGTAATCCACAGCACATTATATTTACATTCTGTGCAAATAAACTCTACATGAGCTATCTAATGTGGAAATTCTTAGCCATAATCTGCTGAGGGGATCACATACGAAGAACGCTGGTTACGAAGAGGTGCGGATATATTTGGTTCATTTATATGGTTATTATGACTATCGTTGGAAATCACGTAAGGGCCATCATAATCCACATCTGGGGTCTCATAAAGGTTCAGGGATGCGTAAGCGTTTTCTGGCTCCCGATTGTGATGTAATTGTGCATATCCGGCATCATCGATAATCGTGGGATTCGAGTCAGTTTGTCCGCCCAAGTCTTTTTTAGATATTTTTTGGCCGTCGTCTCGATGGTCCTGCTTTGAAGCCTTTCTTTTGCTGGATCTCAGTCTTTTCGTGCGCACAATTACGATTATGACAATTATCAATGCCAACAGAACGATGGGAAGGAATATGTAAAGAGCTGTTCTCACGGAAAATACGCTTGGATTCTCGAATGTAGTTTGACCTATATGAATGACGGAAACAGATATAAACTTACAATCATTGCATGCCAGGGCTGGCTTTACTACAGATTCGATGAGCTCGAGCCGGTGCATGGGATACACAAGTGAAACTTGTAATAATTTATATTATATATATAATAATTTATATTTTAAAGACTTGTGATAATTCTTGTCCCGGATTATGTTGCATGATGCCCTGTCCGCGCTCAAATTGTTTAAAAATGCTGCCATATTTCATGTTTTAGGATACATATCTGACTGTGTGGCGATGCATGGCACATAAATGACATAACGCTTATAATATATACCTTTAGTTGTACTTTCTTTAGTTGGCACAATCTTTGGAAACACTGTAATATAAATCGAAATTGCAGGAATATTGAATTATATAGAGACTATAAAAAGGGAACTTCGAAAATGTCATTTTAGGTTTCGTTTACCTTTTTGCGTTGACGACATAAACGATTCTTGGATATTGGTGTATTTTTTTGTTGACGATGTTATTCTAAGTGCTAAAAATATGACGTCGAGTTCACGTATAAGTTCAAAGAGTAGCCTGCATGATTGTTCGTTAAAACAATCACTATCAGAATTGACAATTCTTGGGAAAACTGTTTGTGCGTTCGCGAGGGAGTTAGGCTTTACTATACTATACTGATTCACTGTTGAGAATGCGGTAATTGTTAAGTATAACTGCGTTGATTGTGTGAGTGTATGCGATATACAAGTGTAAATTAAAGATGTGAGGTACGACTTGTGATAATCAGTCCACTACCGGATGATGTCGTTGCATTCAAATTTTTCTATAGAATAGTCTGAATGAAGTATTTGGTAAAACAATCGTAGAAAATCACTGTAATACTCTCGCGCTCAAATTGTTTAAAAATGCTATAGCTACCATGCATACTTCATATTTTAGGAAGTATCTGACTGCGCGTGCATGAATGCAGGCATAATGCTTATATACCTTTAGTTGTATTTTCTTTGGTTGTTTCAAACTGAAGAAGCGCTATAAAATAAGTCAAAATTGCGTATTAATCGATTAATATATACGAATTAGAGACCAAGATCGTAGCTTCGAAAAGGTCATTTTGGGTTTAGATTACCTTTGAGTTTCTGCAATGACGGAAAAGGATTATTGATGCGTTTTGATTTCTCACATATCCACGCTCGCTTTTTATCGCATTCCTGATTCCTCCAAAACATTGACCCTTCTTCTATTTCAACGCAGTGCTGGTCTTTTAAATCATTTGGTTCTTTTTTAGACCATTTTACGATGGTACGTTTATCCCCATTGCTCCAAACCCATGCTCTGTCGCTCGATAATTTCGTTCTGTTGATTTTATTCAGTCCAATCCAAATATCTTTATTGATATACCACGTATGATCATACAAAAAGCGAATCTCGGCTTCAGTTGTCAGAGAAACTAAATCTGCACCTTTCATTAAGCAATGCGAACGAGCGTCTTCCCAATTTTTTCTTTCCTGCCGCACGAACAAATAACACGAATTGCCAAAGCTTTTCCATCTTACAGCACAGGTCTGCTCTATGGTAACGACTGTTGATGCATGGAGAGAAAACGTTTTGTGTTAAAAGTGATTAAACGTTAAACGTGCATGATTTTCTCATTCACGCGTACGCCAGCTGACTGCTCAGTTTTCTTTCTGTTATCCATATGCATATGAATTGCATCTTACTCTTATTTTCTGTCAAAATTTGTAGCAGTTTTCGATTTGTGAGAGCAAGAGGAGGGAGGATTGAGCGAATTCTATAATGATTTCATCTACTATATCAGCTACTATATATAGTCTATATGAAACGAGTTGCTGAAATAAGCAATCGTGCGAATTATAATTCACCATGCACAATCACAACAATGAAAATTAAATGAAATTAATCGATCTTTTTTATCAATTAAACCAAATGTTGTTTTCAGCATAATATATTTGGACCTTCATTTCAGAAAAATTTAGGGCCAGGGAAACATCAACCTTTAGAGAATTTTTTTCTGTTTGTGCAGGCATGTAACTTCAACTACGGTATTCCACTTTCTCGGACAAAAATTAAGATAGCGTAAACCGACCATATTACTTGTACCATTGTATATCCTCGGGAACAGGCGATGAATTAGAGCGGGGTCGTCGATCAAAAATCTAATTCTCTCTCTCAAGGACGGTAAAATGAACCCAAACAACCTGAGTACACTAATAATAATATAATACCTATACTTGTAAGTTGATTGGCATAAACTTCAATTCCAGTCAAGGACGCTCTTAAAATCCATTTTCCCCCGCGCCCCAAAAAAAGCTATCTAATTTCCTTTTAAGTGCATGGACGTTAGAGTATGAGGACTTTGTAATTATCTGGTTCAAAAGGCCGGAAAATAACACTACAACTACATACATAACATACATAATCTACAATAACATATATACACAATCGTTAACTGAATCAAACACGGTTAATAATATATATTTTTATGAAATTGAAAAATGACTTGAAGGAATTTAAAGGCGTTGAGAAACTATACTTCGTCGTCCGTAATCATAACTCCTCTCGTGGGTTTGATCTCAGAAAATCATATAAGAGCAGTCGTATTCATGCACACTTATGTTATTATACAAAGATCCATCTATTACATAATCAATTGCATAACTACCACCCTATGTACCGCATAGATCTCATACAATCATTGGGCGCAATATTGGTGCTATAACAACACGTATAACTACGAAATATGTTGAAATGGTGCCAAAATGTGGGCGACGGGAAATGTAATGTGTGAAATATTTTTTCCCAAGCATGATTTACACTTCTGTAATTCGCTGTGTAAACAGAAAGTTTTGGTTTTCCGTGTTTTTACATTAGCGGTTTGTCTATTCATGGGTTTACTTTTAGAGCACTTTTTTTGTTGGCGCAGGCACGCAACTTCGGCATTCCCAACTTACCTCCTCGGACAAAAATTACGATAGAGAAAACCGACAATATTACCAACCATTGTATATGCTCGTACACACAGCGCTATAAATGAATGCGATGAATTAGAGCGGGGTCGTGGATCGAGAATTAAAACTTCTCTCTCGATAAGTTTCAGTGAATGAACACGTATTATATAAACACGAAGAACCTTAGTATACTAATAATATACACCTATATTTGTAAGTTGATTGGCATATAGTTCAAGTCAAGGACGCTCTTAAAATTCATTTTCCTCCGCGCCCAAGAAAAAGCTGGAAGGCCGGAAAATAACACCACAACTTAAAAGGCCGGAAAAAAACACTACAACTAGTTTTTCCTAGTTTTACCGAAAATATACATGCATGATCGTTAACTGATTCAAACACGGTTAATCATATATTTTCATCAAATTGAACTATGACTTGAAGGGAATTTAAAAGCGTTGAGAAACTACTTTGTCCGACATCAACTCCTGCACGCATGCGCAACCGGACGTCCTAAAGCTCTCGTGGCCGTGGGTTTGATATCAGATGATCATATAAGAGTCGTTGTAATCATGCGTTACAAATCTATTTGAATACCACCACCCTATATTCTATGCCAGAGCGATATATATTATGTATATATATATATATATATATATATTATTATATATTATATAAATATATTTATAATATATATATAATATATATATTTATTTATATATATAGAATTTAGAAAGTATTAAAAAGTATTTAGTATGTAGCATTAATGTTCCAAGTCACGATTCCTAACGAGCCGGTTTTATGCGCAAAACAATACATGTGCACACACGCGTTTTTTGTGGGAAAAGGGGTTTGGGGGAAACACTTCTATAAGATGTAATTCTATATGGTCAATCTTTCACCCCAAAGTCTCGTTCTTAAATGGCCTTTAAATCCTTGTTCCAGTTTGTAACGGTTTTTTGTATTTCAAAATTGAAATGACGTGATCGACCAATCAGAATCATTTTTTATTTCGATTATCCCAGAACCTTCGTTTTCTCGCCAGAGGAATCGCGGGCTCGGGGAACGAGATTGGTTTTTACTGTATAAAGAAAAGCGCTGTATAGTTTCCCCCAAGCCCATATTTAAACATGGCGCAAATAAATGACCCATTTTTTTTCAAAAGAGGGAGTTGTATTCTAAATTTAATACAAAATCTGGTCATCTCTCAAATTTGACAAAATCCTTGTGATTAAAATATATTTGTCTTGTGAAGTATTACATGAAGTTATGACACTGTTGATATCACACTAGCTTCAATTTAAGTAAAATTTCGCATGCATGTACATGTTGATAATATGCACATTTATTTATATTTTGATGTTCTGTTTCTCTACCTCAAAATTCCAATTCATTTTCTCCCAAATTGGCAAAGTATGAATCGACTTTCTCTGTGGTGACAGCGCGTAATGTGCTGGGATTCCACTTTGGCTGTTGATCTTTGTCAATTAGGACTAAAGAAAAATAAGAGAACGGCTTTAAAATTACTTTGAGTTTACGGCACAGAACCTCGGCAACCAATAGTCTAATGTTTCTGATGTTTCTAAGATCACAATATCTTGCTGGAAAATTCTTCAAAAAATGGTATTCGGCCAGCACTAGTAACATGCATAACTGGCATCGTTCGTATTTAAGTGGTAGAAGTCAAGCTACCAAATTTGGAAATGTCTTACCGGCGCGAATACCTTCATAGAAATCCTTGTCATTCTAAAAAGAAAACATATAGGTAATAAAGTAAAAATGTGAAGGGAAAACACCAATGTCTTTACTTCTGAATACGAAACGCAAATAGATTTAAAGCTGAAAATTAAATCAAGGCATTACATGACTCCCAGAAGAACCTGGTTTCCGCAAACACTTCTGTATAGTCATATTTGAACGGCACGTGTTTATTCATGCTTTGTAATTATCACTCACCATAAATCGCTGAGAAAGGCGATATTCCATTATCAAACATTCAAATAGAGTTCGTAATTTTGCTCCCTCTCTAACATGTTTTAAGGTTACTTTCAATGATGTCGGCGACTGGAATTGAAACAAATTGCAATACACAATATAAAGAATGCATTAACAGGCAGAATATCTCATGATTTGATATGAAAATTTCACAATTTCACATCGATACTTTAGGCATGTAAGTGCACTTCACATTTACTACGTACTGTAATTCATATTTTAGAGGAAACGGTTCGTTTAAGTCATCAAAATATACCAAAATACATAATATTATAAACCACCATTGAAGTTTTCCCTTTTTAAAGGTATCGGTCTCTAACAATATACTAATTATAAGATTATATAATACACAAAAATGCATATTAATAACTCACCATACTGTTAATTGTCTGAAACGGAAAACAAATTCATTTAAAAGCAGGCAGAAACTCACAGTGGATGAAAGTGAAATGGAATCCAGAGAAGTTTTGAGAGTTGGTGGTCAAAACAACGATTTTCTTGTATGTCGAATTTGATAAAACACAGCAAAACAATTTGTGCTGTTTGTCAACTTATTACGCACATCTATTTTAGACATTGCCCAATCCGTTCCTTCCTTTTCTAATTCATACAAAATGTCCTCCATAGATTCCTTAGCAAAACATCTAAAAGAAATAAGAACATCGGTTAGCACAAAAATTAATAAGCTTTTAGCTGCATGAGGGTCGATAGACATTGACAGAGAAAAAAACGACGTATAGCAATGGTGAAACACAATATGTTACTTCCACTATAATTAGGACATGCACAATGGTTTGCATATGACGTCATAATCAGCCATTCGGCGCCATCTTGCATGGTTGATTCCAAAAAGTTTACTTCTGCTTTTCAAGAGAACAAACTGCGTTGATTTACTTTTTCCTTGTTTATTTTGTAACTGCTTATCATCTCTGTCGTATTATTGGGTGGGTATTAAAACACGGCAACGATGAAAAAATATTTGTGCACATGTTTTGAAAAACCATGCAACCTAAATGGCGGCAATAGACCTTCTCGGTATTTAAAACAAACGTCAAAACATTTTGACATCACAACGTTAAAAATTAGAACCACTTTAAATGAAATGGATTTCAAGTCGAAATGCATCTTTGCACATAGCTTGTGATAGTAAAACTTGAAGCCAATCTCATTTAAGGTGGTTCCAAATTTAAACCGATAATTTGTGACGTAGTTATCGAAAAGGTCTATTGCAAACCACCTATTGTACTTGGTGCATGCATGATACTGGAAGGATCGTATGTACCGCGTTACTTTAACGATAGCACGTAAATCATTCAAAAATTCAAATGAAATTGTCAGCTTCGTGACAATACTCGAACAACGCGAAAGAACATGTGTTTGAAACCTGTTAATGATTTCCAAATATGGAGATAATGAGAAATCTGTTGTTATCTTTGACACACTCTGAAAAAAACAACACATGAAAACAATGTGTATCAGTTGCAGATGTTGCCCCAAATTTTAGGGTTGCACCAGCCCGCGAAGTTTTTATCTTTTAAGTTCTGAAAGTTAGGTTTTGACGTCGCGGACGGAGGGTTTCACTTCATCAGTATACTTGCCTCTTTGTGATATTTTTCGATCATTTCAAGGATCGTTTTCAGTGTCGGTCTTTCCATGGCTAGCATGCTCTCCTCCAACTCGGAAATCTGGAATAAACCGTGTTAATGAATAAACAGCAACCTTAGCCGTCCAATCGTGAAAGAAATTTTCGATTGCATGTGCAACTAAGTGCACTGAATCCAGTGGTGGATTTACAGTATAACCTATAAACCATAGTCACCGGTGGTGCAATTGTAGTCTTACTGAACTGAAACATGATGGTGGCATTAAAATATGCACATTTATATGAGGCAGCAAGTGAAAATTATGCCGGCTATCCCATGCACAACTTTCTCCCGCCCCGGAAAAAAGTTGCTGGATCCACCGCTGACTGTAATTCTCAACAAAATGCAGTGACAACGAGTGATACAGTACCAAATGACAGAAAGAGAAACGCATGCGCAGGGTGGATATATATGCTAGAGGATTCAATCATCACAGACCTTGTCTGATGAGACGTAATGCGTTGCAACACCAGCATGGTGAACGTCGTAACCTCTCAAACGCTCTCCTGCAATGATTTTCGTTAAAAAAACGATGGATTATTCCGATACGCGTATTATCCACATAAGGCGTCTATTGCTATCTCCTCGCGGTAGAAACTTGACTAATCTGCTTTTACATGAAACCATTTTGGGACAAGAACGAAGGTCAAAGTAAGTTCACAGAAGGTCAAAGAAGACCAAAATATTGTTGCTATCTAAAGAATATTTATTAAATTATGGTCAGTATACTGCATACCCTACCAGTTAATGCCAAGAATGTACCAAGTTCGCCTTGGAGCTTTGGTAAGAAAAAACTACCTCCGACATCTGGGAAGAAGCCTTAATTCAAAACGGTTAAAAAAGCGAATTGTTATATGCATCAGACTCGTCTTTTAGTAGACGACTCCTAAACGGAGGAACAGAACGAAAGAAGAAACGGAGAAACGAAAGAAAAATACATGTGATTGGTTTTAAAAACACGCTCGCCATAAATAGGTATAGACTACAATGTTTTTTTTCCATAATTAAATCCAGTAACCTTTCCATTAAGGTAATACTATTAACCAATTATTTTTTCTTTCTAATACCCGGTAACTACTTTTCACTCCCTACCTATGGCAGTTTCAGGCATTGCAAACAACGTTCTTTCTGTGCCAACCCTAAAATGACCATGGACTGAGAGGCCAACACCCTAAAAAGTAACATATTTAAGACATTTTAGACAATTTTTTTGTTGTTGCGTGTTTTGAAATGATATCTTACCCCTCCCATAGTAATTCCATCAATGAGAGCAACGTAAGGAGTCTTTAAAGTGCCTGCAAAAAAATAACGTTAATTCAATGGTGTTGAACACACTCTGTTCTTGGCACCCATCGGAGAAAGTACTTGTCAATGAGAAGTGCTTATAAGAGTTACACAAAAATATAAATTTCGCTACCGTCCTACATAAAATACATATAGGGGCGTTGAGTTAAACAATCAGTCTGATTATTTTCGCATATTGTTGCCTGCATGAATATATTTAATTGGTAAAAGTTTCGCATTACAGTTTATTTTGGTCATTCGGAAATCCTGTATTGCATATTGTCGTGACAGGGTAATGAAGGTCGACATAATGTTGTGGCGAGGAATAGCTCACCAATAGCATTGTTAAGTTGGTACTCTTCTTTAAAGAAATCGCGTCGCAATGTTCCACCAGTTCCAGAAATGCCCTCTTCAGCAACAGCTGTTAAAATAAGAAATGAGATAAAATAATATATATATACTTATAAAGGCTGGTTTTCGCATTTCGAATGTATTTCGTCGTAACTCCCATTGGGTTATTGCAAACCTTGTAAGCAATTAAATCGACATTATATTTATAGCCCGGAATGCTATGCGCCTGTGCACATCCTGTAGTATTAAGTACAGCGTAATACTACAGGATGTGCACAGGCTAGGAATGCTACGAACCTGGAAATTATTGACATTCATAAAAAAAATAAGGAACATTGATCATGCACGGACCGGTTTTCTTTTAAATTTCCACAGACGCTAAAGTCAAGAGGTAATGACCATTAAAGTACAATTTCTCTGGCATACTGTACCTCTGACGTCTCCCCAGCGCAGAAAGCCTTATCACCGGCACCTTTTATGACAATTGCTCCAATATTTTCATCTCTCTCCCAATCCTATTTGAAAATAAATACCCGCTGATTTTTTTCAACAGATCTGTCATCCGCGCGTAAAACAAAGCGGCAGGATGAAAGAGCGATTTTGTCTGGTCATTGTCTTTCAACTGTCGCCAATTTTCATGTTTATGCAGGAAGCCAATATAATACATAATATATAAAATCTTAAATAAGCGTTGTTAAAAATTTCGTTTGATTTCTTGAAGTGGTAAAACCTTAACATAGTGCCTGTGTAACACTGTCTAGAATTACATTTAAACCTGGCCTTTCATTCTATGTTATTGTCCACTTTTGTGCCCTTTTCCCAGCATAATGAAGATGAAAAGAGGCCAATATTATGTGTTTGATATAGCATGCCAAAAGTAGAAAACAAACATTTGAGAAACTTGTAGATAGAGCTTTAAATGAAAGTATTAACTACATATAAGAACTTGTACCATAAGCAATGAGAGGTAATAGGGATAATGACCAAAAATGCTCTTTCAATATCAGTGTTGAATAGTACGTGAGTGGAATAGGTTGAATAGAAGTGCCAAATCAGTGTCTGACTATTTCTGACAAATATGACATTGATCATCTCAAGCAAAAGGATTTAAAGTACCATCAATGCAGGGTGTATCTTGCGAACCATTCCCAAATCTAATGAGTTCAGTGCCTTTGGGCGATTGAGTGTAATCAAGCCAACACTTCCTTTTACTTCCAGTAGGACATCCTATTTTATGACAAAAAATTCAGAAAATATAAATTAATGTTAGGCTCTTTTACAAGTTAAGGATCATGGCAAAATGGTCCCTTCATGTGCAAATGAATAAATGATATTTTGCTAAATATTTTGGACTTCTACTATCAGTTTTGACAGTACAGTGCTATCATTCACTTACTTCAGAACTATTTGAGAGCATCCTCTATACGAAGAATACAACAAAACCAATCAATAAAATTTATATATATGTATATATACAATTTGATTTTTTTTCGTATAGCTATATTATATAATGCTTCATTGCAAGTGGTTCACTGTAACTGACCATGCCAAATATCATGGAATTAAGAATTATTCTACAGCTAAGAAAGGAAGGTGATACATGTACATATTAGGTCTTTGTACGAACAAGCCATAATTGCACCTGGCACGAACACTGCAGTGATTTGCAAAGATTATGTTTATAGTGCTAAATAATGCCAAATTCAAATTAATGTGATTTTATTATCCCTCTTCCAAGGAGTGACCTGCATGTAATGATGCACCATTGGACTGAAGTATTATGACTTCATTCTCTATAGCTTTTGAACATATGAAATAATGGGGTAGGGGGGGTCAAGTCATACACCTGGAGTGATAGATTGTTGAATATAAATGCATTTTATTGTATATAAATAAACACATGCTTGTTGAGGCTCATAAGGAGAAATGTGTGAGGGGCACATTTGAAAGACCACCTTGTTTTGCGAGGTTTTCCCTAATTCGAACTCATAATCAGGATGTTGAATCAGCACATGAGGTCAACAATAGAAAAACTCGTAAAAGATCGTGGTGGAAATCTTGAAAATGTATAGCGTGAAAAACTTACAATGTGGTTGGTGATCATATTAACTCTTCGGCCAGCGGCATTCCTGCTCGACATAAGAACTCTGTTCCACCTTACAACACATGCAGTATAAAATATCGTCATCATTTCGATCAAACGCGTATCTCTTCCTAGAGCCTCTCCGGTAACTCCAAAATCTTAATACAGGGTAACAAAGGCATTTAAAAGTAGTACTTACATGACTAGGACAAAGATTGTAAATAGATTTTTCCTCTGGAGCGTGCAGGTTCAAAGTACAATATTTAGTACTGTATCAAAATCTTATTTATAGTCTATATAGTCTAGAGACTATAGAATTTAAAACTGGAATAACCAGTTCGCTACATTTTACTTTTGGGGGAGGGGTGAGTGAACTATAGATACTCTGATTCATAGATTTACATCGTTTATCGTCTAATCAAATGCGGTATACGGTGGATATAACCTGATATAATGCGGTGCATATGATTGTTCGTAGTTTACGCGCAATAAATTTTGAAGTCTGAGTTATAGCTTTTCTAGAAAATCGATTAATTCGTTCATTCATTACCTGATATTTGTTGCAAATTGTCAATACAAGCCGACACTAGGTCGAGCCGTGGACGGAAAAATCCGAACGTTTCCGTAGCTCGCCCGACTAGAATGAATCACTAGAATCATCACAAAAAAAAATTACAAAAATGGCAAGTCCAAGGACACGTCGAGTTTTGAAAGAAATTAAACCAAAAGAGGATAACAACGTAAGAAATGACTTTCAAGGATCCCGGTCTGGATGAAAATAACATAATGATGTTGAAATTTTTGTTTTTAGACGTGTTTCGAATGTGGGGGACACAATCCACAATGGGTCAGTGTCACCTATGGCATTTGGATTTGCCTCGAATGTTCAGGGAAACATCGTGGTTTAGGGGTTCACATAAGGTTTGTATTTATTTTTTTTAAAATATAGTTTGGTTACTTTTTTTTCACCGTTTGCCTGTGCTTTGATAAAAATGTATGTATATTTATATTCAATATGTATATGAATATACCGGTATTCAAATATTTTTATTAATAATGTGACTATAAGAGACCAAATATGTATTTGTAAAGTTTACCGTAACTTTTATGTAATATATTATACTCACTGTGACTTTTTGGGTTGCTGGCTACTGTGTAGGTAAATTTACCAAGAGTAGCTTTAAATCAGCTTATCTTAAGCAACAACTTTATTTGTTTTTAATAAAAATGTTATAACACACATAGGCAATTCTTTGTAGATGACAAGGTTAAATAGGGTCAGTAGGTTACTATCCCTAGTAAAAATTCACTCAGAAGATGATGCCAGCCACAAAAAAATGCCCATTTTTACAACCTTATTTCATAATGATAAAGTTCCTATTGTTTATTCATTAAAAATACTCAGGTCCAGTCAGTGGTCACTGTATTAAATTACAAATCTTTTCCCATGTTGATAACTTGGATTTCAAGATTTTATATATTTTTACATGGGCCTGTTTTCATAGTCTGTTGTCAGATAACAGTCCAGATCTATCAGTTAAGAGCTGCATTTGTTGTGTGTAATTTTTAAAACTGCCTACTGTTTCCCAAATATACTTCATACAGTAATGTATGGTGAATATTTCTTTGAAATAGTTTTGTGCGTTCTGTGACAATGGACAAGTGGAAGGATGTAGAATTGGAAAAGATGAAGGTTGGTACTTACTGCTGCTTAGAGGTTCTTTGTGCTGAATTGCGATTCTAGCAAATATATTTTTTTACTTCTGTTAACGTTATAAAAATTACAGGTTGGAGGAAATCGAAAAGCTAAAATCTTTTTCAAATCTCAAAAAGACTTTAAGCAAACTTGGTCAATACAAGAAAAATATAATTCAAGAGCAGCAGCTCTTTATAAAGACAAGGTGAAAAGTTAAAAAGTTTTATATTTTATTTATTGTAATCTGAAGGTTATTTATCTGAAATTTACTACTTGTTTTGATTTGCACTATGTATGTGAAGATATGTGCTCTTGCTGAAGGAAGAGCATGGTCAGAGGAGTCATCTTCTGCACGTGATTGGACACCACCAGTAGCAAATAATTTTACAAATAATTTATCACCTGGAAATTCTGAAAAGTCTAAAATGTCTAGTACTTCATATAAGGCTGGTGGATCAGATATGGAATTGATGTATGGCTTATCAAAGTAAGTCCATGCTCTCTGCCATTCAAGATGTGCAATTATTGTGTGCTATATGCTTTCCTTTATTTCACGCATGTGTACACAATTATTTCATCTGTTTCCTCTCTGAAAAGTTAGCCACAGTGCCAAGCTGGATGAGAATTTTTTTGGTGTGGAAACTAGAAATTTTACATGCAGATAATCATCAACCTGTCACAATGTTCATTAGCTAGAACAAGCTGCAACATCCTTTAACACTGTTGTTACAGCCAGTAACTGGTGTGAAACAACTACTCATTTTATTGATCAATGGGTGCCTTTTTCTGTTACAGGGCTGAAATTGATTCACAAAAGAATCAGTTTTTTGAAAAGAGAAGACAGGAAAATGCTTCCAGGCCAGAGTCAGTAATTAAAATACTTAGTATTGTTATTATTTAAGTAGTATGGTTTATAGTGTAATTACCAATAAATATGCACAAGTGAGAGTTTCCAGTTTTTTTATCACCCAGCCACAAGTGATATCATGTTCATCAGTAATTCCACAAAAAATATAAAATGGTTTGTTAACTAACGTGGCATGCAATTTGTTGAAACCGGCGCGAATTGTAATCAAATATATCAATGTTTTTGAACCGATTGATAGTACTGAAAAGAAAATTAAGGATCTTGAAAATTTTTAAAGAGTATTCCAGTGATTATCATGCACATATATTAAAATACATGAGGGTTGCATGAAAATTATTTGGGGTCAACAATGAAATCAAGCTTTAATATTCGAGTGGAAATATCGTTCGTGAATCTTTATCGAGGCGATTGAGATCTTCCAATCAATAAGTTCGAGTGTGAGTGA